GATTTAGTAGAGAAAGACCTATATGCCCTGTACGGAGAAAGAGGAGAAAGCTCGTGTTGGAAGAAGTACTGGAAGATGGTTCTGTTTCCATTTGTGATGAAGGAGGTAGAGGCGGCGCGTGAGGGGAGAAAGATGTTGAGGCTCTTCACGGTGAAGGACACGCGGTTTCGGACGGGAGGGAGGGGGAAGTTGTGGCACGGCGTGAATCTTGAGCACCCCGCGACGTATGCGACTGTGGCAATGGATTGGGAATTGAAGGAGATGATAATTAGGGATTTGGATAGGAAGCAATTTTTGTGGAGGTAAGGGAGCAATTTTTGCGGGACGAAGACGTAGTGTTCTAAGGTTTAAACCCATCTGGTTGAAATATTACAATTAATAATAAATAATAATAAGAATGATAATAATAATAGTAATAATAATAATAATAATAACAAATAATAATAATAATAATTAATAATGATAGTAGTAATATAAATAATAATAACTAATAATAATAATAGTAATAATAATAATAATTATTATTATTATTATTATAATTATTATTATTATTATAATAATTAATAATAATAATAATAATATTAATAATAATAATTATTATTATTATTATTTTAATTTACTAAATTACCATTTTTTACATTTTAAAAATTAATTTATATTTTTTTTACTTTTTATAAACATTTTTACAATTAAATATAACATTAACAATTCTTGAATCATAGATGAACTGAAAGAAGTAAATAATCAAAGAAGAAGACTATGTGGTGCTCTTGAATGACATACACAAGCCATTCTCGAATCATAGATGAACTGAAAGAAGTAAATAATCAAAGAAGAAGAGTATGTGCTGCTCTTGAATGACATACACAGGCCATGTAGCGTCGAATATGTTTGTTTAAAATTAATCAATCTCACTTCCGTAACAAATAAATTGATACTACTTGGTAGTAAATTATATTACAAACAAATACTACATTTAAAAATAAATTTATTTTACTATATTATAATTTTTATAATTTTTAAAAATTAATTTTAAAAAATATTTATGATTTTGGTCTTTTTATAAACATTTTTACAATTAAATATAATATTAATAAATAACATTTTATATTACTTTAATAACTAGGAGCATTTTGGTAATCTTTAATTTCTACCAATTAAACTAATTTTTTAAATCTATCACATCAATCAAATCCTACACTAATTCTCAAAAACTTTACTTCCAAATCCACTCTCAATTATCCACAAATCCACTCAAAAAAACAAAAAAAATTATCCTCAAATCCATTCAAACCATCTCCCCCAAATCATCTCCCCAAATCCCTACAAAAGAACAAAGTCTTAAACCCGGCTCATGCGGGTTGAACCCGTGGTGGACCGGGTTGGCCACCAACCCATCTGCCTAATTTTATTTTATTAAAATTTAATTTTAATTTTAATTTTATAAAAAAATATTTATTATTTTGTTTTTGTTTGAAAAAATTATTTAAGTTCCTTATTTTTCAAAATTAATTAAACAGTGAAATTTGTTTAGATTTAAATTATAGAAAGTTTGTAATTTTTTTATTTTAAAAAAATTGTAATTAAATGAGCCAGTGAACCAACCCGTTTATCCATCAACGTGTGGTGGGTAGGGCCCGGTTCGAATTTTTCTGACTCGCTAATAAATGAGCCGGGTTGGGTTGACTCTAAGCCTATGTTCACTTTGGATGATTTACTATTCAAGAGAAAATCGAAGCACAAATTTGCGGGATTTATTGGGTTTGTTTTAAAAGATTTGCAATGATTTGAGTGAATGGATTTGCGGGTTACAAGAGGAAGTGAATCCTCACAGTGGTAAAGAGATTTGAGAAGATTCACATCGTTTTACTAAAGTGCCCTTTATGTATTTTTAAAATAAGAATATGCATATAATTGAATTAATACTAATTATATTTTATTTTAAATTATTTTTATAACTAAGGATAAAAATATAATATTTTATTTTTTTATTATTTTTTAAAATGTATCCTAAAAAAATGTATTGTATATTAATTTTTTTTTTAATTTTACTATTTCAAATAATTTTTACCAAAAAATATATTAATCATAAATATCATTTTATATTACTTTTATCATTTATTAATAAATATCATTTTATATTACTTTTATCATTTATTAATAAATATAAATTTATATTACTTTAATAACTAAGGGTATTTTGGTAATCCTTAATTCCTACCAATTAAACAATTTTTTTTTATCATTCACATCAATCAAATCCTACACTAATTTTTATAAACTTTACTTCCAAATTCACTCTCATTTACCTCAAAATCCACTCAAACAAACAACAATTAGTTCATCCTCAAATTCATCTACTCACTCTCCCCCAAGTGAACACACTAAGTGACCAACTCGTGGTGGACCCGAGTGACCCATTTTGACAGCTATGAACATTGAAACTAGAAAAAATATATCTTATGTTAATTTTTTGATAATATTTTAAATAGTATATATGTCATTCTTTTATTAATTTATTATTATATTAATATATTCTAAATTTAATAAAAAATAATATGTATATTGTATCAAAATATTCTTAAAAAATCTGTGTTAATATATTTTTGTCTTCGAAGTATTCGGTGTCTAGGTTTATGTGAAATACGTTCCTTTATAAATAAGAAAGGAAGAAGAGGATGAAACATTAAATGATGAAAGTTGATTTTTTTTCATTAAATTTTGAGTAAGAAAAAAAAATAATGTAAATTTATTGAATATGTGGCTAAAGAAGTGACATGAGAGGAGCAGAAGTGAGAAAGGGAAAGGCACTAACTGCTATTTAGTTTGGTGGATTTTGGGTATGAAAAGGATCTTCCAAATTGGATTGAATTATACAACTAAATAAAGACCTACTCCCACATCGCCTAAGGTGCTCATTCTTTTTTTTCTATAACCTATATATACTCTTAGTAGAGTTAATTTTGTTCAATATTAAGTTACAAGTAAAACTTTTCCCTTTTCAAGTGTATGACTACTAAGAATTTGAACTTAAAACTAGTGAATAAACTGAGCCAACTACCCCATAAAAGTTCAATGACTATTTCACACAAATCAATTCACAAATTGGGCGATGAACTTTTGGTCCACTTGAGTTTGGTCCACTTGAATAAATCCATCCCAGTATGGGACCAACACAATCAAATTCCTCCATAAATTCTTTTAGTTCAAGAATTTCCTATTCTTTCTTTCAACAGATATTAAATTTAAATGCATTAACATTGCTGTTTTAAGTCAAACAAGATTAAAGTTTTATTACAATAATCTTGTCAATATTTAATGTGATTTTTAATGACCTATATTTTAATTATAAAATGATGCTTAAAATATTTACAGTTATAAAATTACTTTTTTGCCCGCAATATCTGATATACATTTGGACTTTGTTTTCTAATAGATAAAGAAATGAAAGGAAAAGAAAAAATGATGCAAAGTTTAACTTGATAGTGAATTCCATAAATTTTAGCCAACACAAACTAACTTAATAAATTTGTATTTAGGGATTTTAGATTTAGGCATGTTCTCTTCCACATAAAATTATCATGTAAAATATTCATGAGATATAAGCTTTTAGTTCATGGTTTTATACAAGTTAGTATGCAAATTGGAGGGGAGGAATGGACACAGAAAAGACGGAGATATGATAGTGTAGATTCTCTTAATTTTTGTTGACGTGATTCATGTTATATGAAAATTTATAATAACAAGAAAATGAGTAAATTTTAATCTTATAAACATATATTAACATTAATTAAACTATTGAATAATGGTTAACATTTGAGTAACTTTATATTTTAATTATGGTTAAATCTAAAGGTTAGGTGATTTACTGGAGTGGTTTAGAAACTCCTAATATTGGTTTTAAATTCTCATGAATGAAAAAGTTTAATGTGAAAGGAAAAAAGATGCAGGTATCCACTTAAAAGAAGAAAAGGACCAAACAAAAGTAATAATAGAAACTAAAAAGAAAAAGAGAGTAAAGAATATGATCAAATTGTTTGATGGCCAGAAGAGGGAAAAGGAAAGGGAGGTTCTTTGGAATCCTTACTAATAATAAGGCATGCTTCCTTACCTTCATCTTAGGTCAATAATTTAATCAAATCATAACATGCATATTATATTCGCTTATTTTTTAAACATAATAATTTCAGATTTGTTTTGGTTTTTTATCAATGAATCCAATAAGGTATATATATATATATATAATATTAAATTGAGAGATGTGGTTATTAGAGTATAAAATGGGAAATTATAATTATCTAATGTATGATAAATTCAACAGTTTTTAAGGCAATTTTTTTTTTTAAATTATATATACACTAAATTGATATGTATAGTAAATTCACTTATTTTTCTTTAATAAATATTTTAAACACACATTTAGTTATCATAGATAGTGTGTTTATTATTATGCTAAAATGAGAATAATAAAAAATTAATAGAGTTACAGCCCGAAGACATAAAAATGAGTTCTGTAAAGCTTATAAATATTTTAATTTTATGATAAATATAGATAATCGTATATATTTAAATAATTGAAAAGTGCTACTCTTTTTAAAATATAGCTTTTTGAATCTTTTCTTTTAAATATCAAAACCTTTTAAAAAAAACGTAAGTTTCCCGTCGTTTCGGAAAAATTACACACATATATATGTATGTGTGTGTGTATATATATATATATATATATATATATATTATTTAGTGCAAACTTAAGTATATGAATAATAGGCGGGGTCCATCCTTGGTAGTCTTTTAATACGATATTAATGCTTCCCAAGATATGAAAAGGTTGAGTATAATTAGTAGTTTATCACTTCTCACATGGAGCACCCAGAACTGAATCAGGAATTGGTGGTGCAGCCACAAAAGCCCGCAACAAATGAATTCTGCCAATAATAATATCAATAACAAATTTCATGGTCAAATTATAATTGAACAGATGGGAATATTTTCTCATGATCAAGAAGGACAATTCATTTCTTGAACTTTGATGTCACTAAAAAATCATATATCATTTACAGACGCCGATTAACTGACTCCATTTACAGACCTGGTGGGTTAATTGGAAGCAAAGCAAACTAACCTGAAGGATCTGATACTCATCGATCAACCGGTTCAATTCATCTAAAATCTGCAACCCTATATAAAATTAAATTTCCAGAGACAAAATTCGAGTCTCTATGAAGGAAGATTACCAAAAGGAAACTCATCATATCTCATTAGCTGGTTTATTCAACTTGAACAAAAGCCCATTAGAATTGGCGCATTCAAACAAAGCCTTAGCAGTCATTTCCCTCTCAAACCTCCAAATATAGTTCAACCCCACCAGAAGTTCAGTTATGGCAGCCTCAGTCTTATCTTTGTTGGCGAAGAACAAAGTCTGTAACAGCAATACATTGGTCTTGGCCACCAAATTGTGTTGTTCAAAGCTTCTCTCATTTTGCCATTTGATCATGTTGTGTGCCAAAGGTGATAACCATCCCAATATCCTTCCCAAGGCGTCTCTCCATTCTCCAGCAAGAACAGGATCGCTAGCACAAAACCCCACCCCTCTCAGTCTCCCTCTCAACCCCCACCTTATGCTCCTCGGCAACATACCATATAAATCATCTCTTGCATCTACTCCAACCAAGTGAGGTGACTTTATCATCTTCTCCATCACTATTATCAAATTTGCATAGTGTAAAGCCAAACCTGAAGCTCCCAAAGTGCTCTCCGGTGGTTTAAGAAGCTTCGAGTTGGCCTCAAAAAACCCACTTTCCATATCTTCATTTACCGCTTCATCAAACTTTGACTCTTCCTCTAATAACCCAGAAACAACAAAATCATTAGGGTTTTGATCAGATGGATAAACAGTGGCCGAAGTAGATAAGGTACGTGACAGACAAGGCATGCGGTGACCGATTCCGAAGACAACCTTAATCCTAGCTAAAACAGTGAAACTGAACCTTACAAGGAGCACGACAACGCTGTCGAAGCTCCTGCTCCACAGGGATCTTTCTTTGAGATCCTTCACCTCTTGCTTCTGCCAGAAAATCTTCTGCTGAAGTTCATAGAGTTTTTGCTGGTCTTTACTCCCAACGTTGTTGGCGTCAGCGTGGATCAGAGCTTTTCTAAAGCCGCTTTCCAGAACCGTGAGCTCCTCCATTTCGCGGTAGAGGGCTGCCGTAAGCGTCACGTAACGCTCCATTTTCTTGAGCTTTGATTCGATTTCTTTTGGGCCCGGAAGGGCCCACTCTTTTGGGTCGCAGCCCGAGTCCGCGAACTCGAGGAAGGCCCGCTGGAAGGAGCGCAGGTTGGGGTCCTCGCAGCGCACGCCGAGTCGGGTCACCGAGTTCGCCACGACACGGAGCGACTCGGCGAACTCGGCGCAGGCGAGTCCGAGGAGGAAGGACTCGTCGTTAGAGATGATCTTCCTCACGCCTTCGAGGTTGACGGCGTCGTTTCGGATGCGGACGATGGTGGCGTCGGACAGCGAGTGCCAGAGATGGAGGAGTTTCGACATGACGCCGGCGATCTCGAACGCCAACACGCCGACGTTTGGTTTGGACTTGAACGAGGGTTTCTTCTTCAGCAGCTTGGGCGGAACCGAGTCGAAGCTATTTGATATAGCGGTTTTGACCTTGACAAGGAGCGTTTCGAGGGCCATGGTTGAGTTTGAGGTGAAGTTCCTCCGGGTGATTTGCGGGTTGAGCGTTGAGCTAGAGGAAAGTAACGTGTACCATGTGTTTGAGAAAATGTGTAAGAAAAAGTGGGAGAGATAAATAAATAAATAATTGAGGAGTGGGGAGGTTTTGGTTCAGAGCGATAAGGATAAAGAAGAAGAGGATTGAAAATGCTGGAGAGGCTCGTGGGGTGTTCGATCAAGAGTGGGTGCTACAAAGAGACTGATTGTGTTTATTAACGCGAGAGAGAAAGAGAGAGAAAGAGGTGAGTGTGGTTAAAGTATTTAAAACCACATGCAGTGGCAGGGCGTGATGGATTGTTGCATCAGAGGGTGTGTTTCTGGTCTAAGGTTCAGTCGCTCTAAGAAGCGCGTGGAAGAGGCTTAACTTGTGATTATGATTTATGAAGCTCGAAGCTCCTCCGGTGTGTTCTTTTCTGTCTGTTTAAGTTGGGGATTGTGATTTTATGTTTTGGTTTTTACTTTCTGGATTTTTTAGTCTCTTAGGTTGTTGAATTATTGATACATACTACTACTATGTAGTTGTTGGTAAATGAAACTTTTCTGTTATGTTTGTGTTTGGATGCAAAGAAACACTTTTGTTTCAATGTCATTGTATGCTTTTACGATTGAGGGCCATCTCATTATTGTTGCCTCGCTCCTCCCTTTTATTTTCGTCTTTCTAAAAGCAATTGATTTCCTTTGTGAGATTATTACCCTAAAATTAAGAACTTCAAGACGGTAGTGAGTGATAACTAATGAGATGTGAAAATGCTATAGTGTCAAAATAAAAGCACGTATTCATTGCTCCTTCATCAATTCCATTGACTAATAATATATTTCTTAAATCTTTAGAGGTCCAAGGTTCACTTATGGCAATTTCAATTATTTAAGATTGTGAGATCATCATTGAGAATAAAACCAGGTAGAGATATAGTGATCTCTGACGATAATTTTGTTGGCATTACACATCATATTTAGAAATAACGAAAATAAAAAAAATAAGAAATTCATTAACAAAATCAGTTATACATAACATCAAACCTAACATAATCATTTATGCGTTTATGATTATCCCACACATCAAATGGGCATAGAATATTCTTATAGGTAGCTAGCATGGATGTGGCTATGAATTGCAATTTGACAGTTTGACCACTTAACTACATCCCAAATACTAATTTCCTTTCTCTTTAATTAACGGTTTAACTTTCTGTAATGTGTTTGTTTGTATGAAAGAATTATGTGAATTCCAAGCAAGTAACGTCAATTGCTAAAAACAGAAAGCAGTGGTGTTATGTGAATAATTAATGGATGAAGTTTGACTAGGAATAGTTATGAGATGGAGGAAGGTGGAAGAAACATATAGATAGTGGTGTGTGCTAAAGAGGATGATATTTTGCTGTTATATGCAGCATATAGACATATGAGTATATATGGTGCAGATTAATTTTAGATAGTGAGAAAATAATACACCTAGCTAGCCTCCTCCGCGGTCTAAGGGAACTAGGTCACTCATTCACATCACATGGTTAGTGAGAGTGTGTTGGTGGGATCAAATGCTCTTGGGATATATTTTTCAATGCCTACTTGGGAGTCTCAGAAGGTGTAATTAAGATTTAGTAATTAAGATTTTGATGAAGGAATTAGGAGATACTATATATGTGCCAAAAGTAAATGGAGTCCTAATTAAAGGCTTGTTTTTTCAACCTTTGCCTTACCTTTAGCCAACCAATGGAAGGCCAAAGGATTTGTATGTTGCGTTGTCGGAAAATGAAAGAGCAACCATGAGCCCATTCTGCATTGATATTGATGCCTTTAAAAAGCAAACTCTTGCATTCCTTCACCCTTCTTCCTTCCTCTCAGATATTTTAACTTTGTAATAATTTTTCCCTTCTGCTCCTATACAAAGACAGCTTGCTACTTCTATTATTATATTCTTTCATTCACCTTATGCACATGGAGCAAAAATTGGAACATAAAAGTATAACTGATAGAGCCTTACATTACAGTATTGGGATGCTCCAAATTGATTTTCTTTTCTTTTCGTTTCTGTTCATCTTAATTAGCTTTATTTCCTCATATATATCTCCCTTAATCCAATGAGATCCAATATGTCCATTAATTGCATGAAATCGAGGTGAATATATATAGCCGCAGGGATAGGGATATGCAGTTAAGGAACAGAAAATTATTGACCTTGCTAAATCCTAGACAAATGTTTTTATATATAAAAGAGAATTTTGGGGAAGGAAACCTCAAATTGTTCTTGCATCCAATGAGTGAAACCTTGAATGTGGCACGTGTCATGTGAAAATGGCTAATATACAAGGTCAATCCTGTTCGGTAATCCTAAACTGATTGAGTGTCGCCTTCATAAATCTCAGTCAATAATCAGTAAAAAGAGGATAAGTTTGAGAGTGTTCACGAAACATAGAATGTGGATTTTACTTTGTCCTTTTGTAAGTATGCAACGAACCCATTTGCACAATCTAGGAAGATATTAGATTCTGAACCCATTGTGCGAAGTACCCAAGTACAGCTTTACCTTAATAATTCATGCCAGACATTGTGCAACACTTATAATTAATGACAGGTTAACAATATAATGAACATCAAATCCCCACAAAAAGTGATGAAAAGGATGCAGAAAAAAAGCAATATTCTTAAATGGTAGGTTAACCAAAGATCAAGCATTATAGACCCACCTTTATCATTGTTTTTCACGAAACGGATTCCTCTTTATGTAGTAATGTACAATTGAGGAGGTTTCCTGAACCTTCCTGAATTATAGACCAAAAAGTTAATCATATATACTTGTTCCTTTGCAACTGCAATTTGATCAGCACTGTATACATAGAAAGATGAAATCAATTGATAGATACGTTCTATGAAGAACAATTCCAGCTTCCAAATTATATACAGATAAACGTTACAGTGTTGATACTCAGATCTCACCTAAGCCATTAATGGAGCTTTCTGTGTTTTCATTATGCTTGTCTTGTACACGTTGCAGTGTACAAGTAAACACACATAACAGCATACTCTCCACACCAACATCATTCAATGCACCAAGAAAGTTCGAAAAGGAGGTGTTGTTTGTTCTGGATGGTACCATCCTAATCTAGTTCCATGCGTGGGGCTATGTAAGAAGCATATATTCGTTGCAAATTCATAATCAATCACAGAAAAGGGTGCATATTCGTTGCACCATGCGTGGGGTTATATAAGCATGCATGTTGTCTTGCTTGCTTGCACGCTGGCATGCCACGAACACCACAAATTCCTCAAACAAAAAATTATGGGGCTAAATGTCTTTCTTTTGGAGAGTGCTCAAAAACAGCTACGTGAATTCATTACATCTACTTATATAAATACATAAATATGCAGTCCAAAGCATGTGTACTATAATGGTGAAGAAGAACTGTGAAGTTTGCAATCATAATGTGTGATGTCACTTTAGGTCCTAAGATCATGTATATATATAGTGATTACTCGAACTGATTTTTCCATAAGTGGGGCAGGGAAACCTTTGTTTGAGAAAGCTCATATCAGTGTGAAAGCCATGGAAACATAAAGATTCATTTGGGGCATGAGGTGGGTTTCCATGGATGGATAAAGTCAAAGCATTTCTTCTATACTTTCGGCTCCAGCAAATCTCATTCATGACTATATATATCTTCCACCTTCAAATCAAAATTAGTTTATTAATTTTCCACTGTCATCATATAGTTTGTTGGAAGCTTTAGAAGAAATATAAGTAGTGTTCTGATCTTTATACAAAATAATTCAACATTTCGTAGTCTACTTCTTGAATAATCTTTCAAACAATTAAAAAAAAATCATAATTAAGCCTAACCTGAAAAAGTTCCTAATTGGGTCAATCCAATATCGTTAAAATAAGCAAAATCCTTTTCAAAAGTGTTAATATGACATTGTAGAGACCTTCAAAATCAAGACATACAGTCTATATTTTCTTCAGAGTGGATTTAAATTACAAAGAGTATTTAATATTTTTTGATTAAATAATAGTTTTTTTTCAAATAGGAAATTTACTTCACATAAGTGATATATAATGTTATATATGTTAATTAATATAAATTTATATAATATCTTGTTTATATCAATCAAAATTGATGTAACTTAATTATATTGATGTCTTAATAAATAGTTACAGGGTTTAAAGTTAATATTAATTATTTGTTAATGAATATAATATAATTTGTATATTTATATAATTCACTCTCTCCTCATTCTCTCACCCACCATTACACCAACAAAATAAATTCCAACATTCATTTAGAATATAAAGACTATATTTAATAACATCAACATTTAAATGTCATAGGTAAATAATATCTATTCTAAACTAAACCATAAGTATTAATCAATATTAAATAAGCTACTAATCAGAACTAAGTGTCTATATACCATACTCTAATAAATACTAATTTCTAATACATTAAAAGTTTTTTTTTTATAATAATTTTTTCAATTGTTTGCATACCCAATGACTCCTCACTGAAAAACAAAAACTGTAATATATAAGGATAATAAATAATAGTATTTTTATATTTTTCAAAAATAATTTAGATGTGTCATCATATTATTAAAAAAATATACAACACTAACATATTTTATGATCTAGATACCATGCAGGATACAGTAATCACAGACAATATAATTGTCTTCCTTTTAAATAATTAACAGTGACAAAAGTATTTTTCATTGATAACTGTTGAGCTAATTGTAAGAATTCTTAATGACATTCTTATACACTCTATGATTTCACTTGCATAACTTTAATATGTTAGTAGATACATCATAAATGAATTATGCATGAATATGTTTTTTTATATCTCTTTGATCTTCAATTTTTAAAAATATATAATCCTTTTAATTTAATTATGTTAATTGTTTTAAAATACTAAACAGTATTTTTAGACAAGCATTCAACCGTTTATACAGCTTAAAACGTTATTTAATACATAAAAAAATTAATGTCATTAAATTTAAAAAATTATATTTATTATTTTTAAATTTTGAAGAAAAAAATATATCCAATTTTATAATAAATACAAATTTTAAATTTAAATCCAAGTTTAAAAACTACAAGCATATTTCATTCAATATTTTCTTTCCAAAAAAAATTATCTGACTCTCTCGTTCACAAAATTATCTTTTATATTTTATTAGTATATAATTATCACTTTTTATATTTACAACAAATTTTAACAATGCGCATTGATTTTTGTATGACACAAGAAAAAAAATATATTATCAAACAACTACATCCAAATATAAATATGTACTTAATCAATATAAAATATAACCAACCAAAATTTTCGTACAATAAATATATATATATATATATATATATATATATATGAAAAGGTAGTCTTAAATGAAATGAAAATGGAATCCAGTGGTGAGAATTGTTTTAAAGAGGACCCAGAAGCCAAATGATAAAAAGTATTTAAAAGACATTTTGAAAATAAAATAATAATAAATGAAAGGTTCTCTTTTCATGCCGAACAAACACTCATTTTGCTCTCTCTCTTTTCTCTCTCTGCCCCATA